ACCAGTGAGGCCTGCATGGAGACTGGGAGGTCTCCCTCTGGCTACACACTGGCTTGTTGAAACCTGTGGGTGCCTGGGGCTGTATTAAACTTCAGGAGATGGGCCTCACAGACAAGATCCTGACCCACCTAAAAGTGCCTTAATATGTGAAATCCAAGAAAAAAAAGCACACAACTACTCAGCTTGTGCCAAAACCCTGTTTTCAAGATTAATCATAGAACAGTATTGGTTTGACCTTCAAAGATCATCTAGTCCAACCCCTCTGCTGCGTGCAAGGACAACTTTCACTAGATCAGGTTGCTCAGAGTCTGGTCCAACCTGACCTTGAACAATGCCAGGGATGAGGCATCCACAACGTCTCTGGACAACCTGTTCCAGTGTCTCACCACCCTCGTTGTCTCACTTACATGCAGTCTTAATCTACCCTCTTTCAGCTTAAAACTACTGCCACTTGTTCTGTCACTACAGGTCCTGGAAATAACTCTTTTGCCACCTTTGTTATTAGAAATCTTTCTTATTAAGAAATCATCATCTAAGTTTATTGCAGGTAATTACCTTCTCCTTTATTTTGAAGGTGATTAATCCTGTTAACAATGTACCTTAAACTTTTCTACAAGAAACACGGTGGGAGTTTCTGTTTGTGTTTTATTACACCTACCTATGCAGTATATATACAGGGGTTTAAAATTCCTCTCCTCAGGTCTTCTGATGTGACCTTGCACTGAGGATCCCTTCCCTGGCACACAAAGCTCCACAAGCCCTCCGATGAGCACACATTTTCAGTAAAAGCTCTCTTGCAGCAAGAGTTTTGTGCACAGAGCTGTGCACAGACCTGCCAGCTCCTGAAGTCACCGCTTCACTGAGCTTCTGCTTCCCACCAGACGAAGTTCAGCTGGAGCAAAGTGTTTGAGACATCCTGTTGTAAGGGCAAGTCCCTTTATGGACGACTATACACATCGCATAGGCTCCTGCAACAGAGAGGTCTACTGCTTTGTGACCGTTCCCTGCTCCTCTGTATGGGAGCACTTCGAAGTCAGGCTTTATTTAATGCTGCTGTTGAAGGCATCATCCCTGGGTTCATAGCCCTGTTTTTAAATAAGACTGAACTGAATACTATAAAGAAGGTTTCAGACATTTAGCAAGTTAAACTCTGAGACTGGACAACCAGCGTTGTTAAGTTTTGCATTGGCATGATATATATAACAAGAGACCCCTCAGGAAAAGAAATAAACAGGAAATTACACGAAAATAGAATTTTCTGATTTTGCTGCATCCTACATTTTTGACCCCATCCTGGTAGTTGTTTTGACAATATTATATAAACCCATTCATTGACAGACAGCAACAATTCTGTATGGGTGTGCTGATGACTCCTTGCAGTGAATGTCTTGCCTAGACCACAAATATGTTTGCACAGAACAATTAAGTTGGCTGAAAACAGCTACTGCAGCAACACTGCTTCCAGGACCGAGACAGCCTGTGCTGGAGTTAACGGCAGGTTCCTGCAGGACCCTGCCTTCCCCTGGGCTGTACTCAACAAACTGCTCAACAGAGCACTGAGCAGAAATCCAGTGCTCAACACAGAGCAAAGAGCAAGCCAGCAAAGCGCTGTATTTCCACACAAACTGCAAGCCAATCTGTCAGGTGCATTCAAACCCCAGCAATTTTTAACCATTCTCCAAAGAGGAAGCAAAGCTTGCAGGGAAATACAGTGACACCTCTAACTGGCAATAATTAAACATGCTGATGTTTATGGTGTTGCATTATTGTACTGGTTTCAGGGACAATCCAGGCTCAGGGTTACTGGTCTACACTCAGTAACAAGCCACATGAAGAGGTCAGTTAATGATTCAAATTTCTAAGACATTTGATACACATCAACAGACAGTAATCTTGCTCGTGGAGACCAGAAAGTGATTTCTACTGACCTCTCTCCACCTAACTTAAGCTTGAACCGAGCAGAAGTTGGCTGCTGTGATTTTTACTCCTACAGACGCTGCACACTGTTGTGTGTGTGAAGCTTACCTCCAGGGAGAACGACAACACGACATCTGACTTGGAAAGCTGGTTCTCGTTTTCTTCTCCCATGTCAATTATTGAGGTGTTGTGACTGCGTTTCAGCTTCTGCAGCTTGAACTCGGAGCCTCCTTTAGACACAGGCATGCTCTCCAAGTTTGCCATCAGGAGATTCACCGATGACTTCAGCTCCTCAATGTACATGTTTTCCATTTCTTTGGACACAAACTTTGGAAACTTGCGCTCCTTGGATTTGGAAACAAAACCAACAGAATTAATCGCAGTGGCAATCAGCAACCACTTGTTGCACTGGGAGAATTCCCCAGGAGCATCTGCAGAGAGGTTTGCAAGCAGGAAACTCCCACAAACCAGACGACAAATTACAGCTTCCCCTTGTGTATTGTAGAAACATTATTGTTAGCTACCCGTAGAATTACTACTTGATACTTATCCAACTTGCAAGCATTTCCATTTAATTGATTTTTCTATCTGCAAGTTACCTTCTTCATATATATGTATTCACAATTACAAACACACCAGGTCAGATCTCAGCTGAACTTTGTGATTGACAGCAATTTACTAAAGATTCAAAGAATGCTGACAGCTTGGGACTTGTTTTCCAGTCTCTCAAATGTGCCAGCTCTTTTTGATACACTTCTGAGCAGCAGCTCCTTTTGTTTTCTAGGTGTGAAAGGAGCCTAAGGAGGGGAAAATCATAGAATCACAGAAAGGGATTTTGAAGGGACCTTTAAAGGTCATCTAGTCCAACCCCCCTGCAGAGAGCAGGGACATCTTCAACCAGATCAGGTTGCTCAGAGCCCCATCCAACCTGACCTTGAATGTTTCTAAGGATTTGGCTTCTACCACCCCTCTGGGCAACTTGTGCCAGTGTTTCACCACCTTCATTGTAAAAAATTTCTTTCTTACACCTAGTCTAAACCTCCCCTCTTTTAGTTTAAAACCATCACCCCTTGTCCTATTGCTACAGGCTCTGCTAGAAGGTCTGTCCCCATCTTTTTTATAGGCCCCCTTTCAGTATTGAAAGGCCACAATAAAGTCTCTCGGGAGCCTTCTCTTCTCCAGGCTGAACAACCCCAACTCTCTCAGCCTGTCCTCACAGCAGAGCTGCTCCAACCCTCTGATCATTTTTGTGGCCTCCTCTGGACCCTCTCCAGCAGGTCCATCTCTATCTTGTACTGAGAATCAGCAACGTGTGGGCAGGAATGTGTGGTCCCAACTGGAAAAGGGGGTAAAACACCCTTTCTACTACTTGCCAGGGCCCGTGTCTCCCTCCAAAAAGACAACCTTTCACTGTGAGACCCTCCAGTGCTTTGTAAACAGAACATTTAAACATTAAAATGAAAGGTGACAGTGAGAGCAAAATGTGGTATTCTCCAGTGTGTGATCTCAGCTTTGAACTGCTGCCCACACTCCAGGTCTGTTAGGACCACTGGTCAGAGCCCTATGTCTTCTGACAACTTTGCCCATGCCCTGAATCCGCTCGGGGTTTGAACATCTCTCAGTGGGTTATGACAGACTGTGCAAGGCGTATGACAGCGAGACAGCATCTGCATCCAGGGAACTCGAGGCTGGCGTGCAAAGTATCTTAGTGGTAATTCATAATATTGTAAGAAGCAGTTCATAAAATGTATGCTAGAAGAGAAAACAAGGTCATGTTTCTTCTAGAAGACTGTCATCAGGTTGCTGAAGAAGTACTCCACCGCACTAGTTTGTGCATCAATCCTCAATAGCTTGCCCATTACAAGCTCACAGCAGCGCTCACACCAAGCAGTTAAAATACAGTCTTCTGTTTCCAGTCTCAGTCTTGGGAAGCAATTCCCTCATGTAAATTAGACCTGGTGTAAGACAAACTACTTAATCAGTCTGGTTTATTGTCTATACATTATATAAGTTGCAAGCCACCCCTAGGAAAAAAAAAAAAACCAACAACTGTTTTGTAGGTTTTGAGAACTACTGCTGAAGCAATGATGTTCAAACATTATTGCTTTTTCACTCTGCTGCTATCCATCCCTCCAGGGACTGCAATTTTGGCACTGCCCCCACAAACCTCTTCAGAAATGCAGCAAGGACTGAGAGAGATTTCACTGTGTGCCACCAGCAACTTCTCATACTAAAGCTAAAACCAGGTAGTTTGAAGTGATGCACAACAATTTAACTGGGACTGGGTCTGGTGATGGAAATGCAGAACTGCAGGTGTGGTCCCAAGTTACCCATTGGACTGGAGACAGAAGTCTGGGGAAGTCTGGAGGAAGACACAAGCAAAAGATGCAGACAACACTAGTGACCTCCACATGTTGGAGCAGGGAGAGGCCCAGAAATGGTGACAAGCAGAAATAAGAGACTGCAAGGAAAGACCAGTCCAGCAGGCTGGAGCAGAATGGGTCCAGCCCCACATGGACATCTCTGGTATCATCACAAGGTCTCATTTAGTTGCCCCTACACATGCTCCTCCTTGCCCTTGAGGCCAGGTGACTGGCTGGGGGGAAAAGCACCACAGAACAGCAGAGCACTTGCTGCTGCAGAGAAAAAGACCTCTGCCTTGGCGTCACTAACCTCTCAGCTGTAATGCTGCTCTCATTTAGTTGCTGGAAAAGTACAACACGCAGAGTGAAAAGCCTGTCCAGATTCAGCTTTAAAACATCTGCTTGACTTCGAGCATGATCCTCAAGCTGGCCAGCTCCAAAGCTGGGCTTATGTGCTTACACAGACTCTCAGTGGGAGACTCTGCCTAATGCTGTGCTGGTGCTGTGCTGAGCTGCACTCCCCTGGGCACATGAGGAGGTAAAAAGACCCAGAGCTGTGCCCTGGTGTCCAGATGCAGGAGCTGGTCACTGAGGAAAGCTGGCATGCAGGGTGACTTGTTTGAGCTCATATGACAGGTCCAAAGAGGGCTTGCAGAGCCACCAGTCCTAGAGCACTGAGATCCCAGATCGTGTCAGACTCCACAGCCTTTGTTGCCTCTGAAGTACAAATGTCCTAGCATTAATTTCTTAATTTATTAACAAAGCACTAATTTGCCTTTAGCATGGAATCTCCAAGATGGCCACCTCAGGGCTAGTTTCACGAGCACAGGAAGTTTCCCTGTGCAGCAAATCTGCATTAAAAGCTGCCAACTGGAGACAAAATTGGAAATGGTTTCTTTTCATTGAGCTGAAATGTGAACTGCCCTATGCTAGAGGGAAAGTAGCCCTGCCCGGAAAGGAGGATACAGAGAAGGATTCAAAAGGTCATTTGGATGCCTCCAAAAGATGGTATTCATGGGTCTGAAAGAACAAGGTTATTCATAGGTAGGTGCTGGCAGGATCTAACGTTCTGGAGAGAAAGCCTGCAGCAGTAATGTGAAGGAGATTAAATATCAATACGCCCAAACTGGATCACAGGTAAGTCACTTTTACTCTCAACTGCCCTCCAGCCTGTATTTTGAGGGTTGAATCTGCACAGGGAAATGTCAGGTTGTGTTGAGGACCTTCCCCAGACTATCTCTCGCAGGGCCAGCAGCGGCATGGTTTGTTTTCAGCATCCTGGGGGAGGAACAGAAATGGCAAATTCTCGTCTGCAAAAAATAATTTATGAAGCTGTAGCCTCTGCTGGCTGCTACTGAACCATGCATATTGTTGTCCCACATGCCATAAAGAGAAAATGAAACAACAAAACCAGACAATATCATTCTGGCACCCAGTGCCTGGCTACCCACCTCAGAACCGGAGCAGCAGCGCTCCTGTGCAGGGACTTACATTTTGCCGCAAATAAAAAAATACTGTAGGTTTTCTTGACAATAAAATGGCAAAGGGCCGAGTACAGAACAAAGGAGCTGAGGTCAGTTTGCTGCTTTGCTTTTCCATTGTTTGGGCAATGTGGTCCTAGGCCACCTTACTGTTTTTATCAGTGAAGTGGGGAAATCCAGAACCTACCTCCCCAAAGATGCAACAGCAGTAGCTGTTTAACGGAAGCGTTAGTGAGGAGTGACTGCACAGGCGCTACTGGCTTCCTTGCTAACACTTGACCATAAATGAACAGGCTCTGCTTTTCACACCCAGGGATCTCAGTGTAGTTGCAAACAGCTCTGATATTACCTTTCTAATAAAATCCCACCATTTGGCACAGCTCAGTGCCAGGAGGACTGCTGCTGAAAGGCAGGTCCCTAGCCTGAGCTCCAGCTCCCTGATTAGACCTTTTTCTTTTCCTTCTAGTAATGGCTTCTTGATTATCAAGAACAGACAGATAGATTGTCCCCAATTACTTCAGCCACATTAGGGCTTTCTTTATCTGTGACTCAGAGCATCTGATTAGAGGCAAGGATAAAATCTCGGTGATACTGATGTCAACAGCATCTAAGGTTTCTCTCCATCTATGGTCCATTGGAAGCCACGTAAATCTGCAGTGTGCAAGGGTGTGATTTGCTCCTAGGGAGATGTCTCCTTACAGAAGAGTCTCTGGGGAGTTTAGCCGAGTGCTTTGTTACAAAAACTCTTTTGAGGTCCCGTGTCTGCTGCTCCAGACGGCAGTGATGTTCACATGGTGTGATGCTAGCCTGACTGCTCTCATGCAAAGCATGAACTTGTTTGGGACAAGCACATCTGAAGTACTTTTACTGGGGCAGCATCTACCTATGGGCAAGGAACTGTGGCTCCCAGAGGCTCAGTGAATAGCACAAACCCCTTTAGGGCAATTCCTGGCTCATTTTTACATGCTATCACCCACCTTATTGCTCAGCCTGTAAGTCTGACAAAGAGGGCTTAGATGTGCACTTGCAGATCTAGCTGGAGCACTTCAGGACAATTTCTTCTGCACTGTTGAGGATTTGCAAGGGATTTTGCAGGAAGCTAAACCATCCCAGCTTATGAGGATGTTCCAAGAAATGCACATCACAACAGCTTCATCTGTACTTGTTGCTTTGCTGGTCATTAAAAATCTGCATATTTTTAACTGGTGATTACTGGGAGAATAAACCTGTGAGGGAAGGGCAGGACCCAGGGACTGCACAAAACAGCTTATGTGATTCTATATGAAGAGCTTGTTAATACCAAAGAGTGTGTTTTTTTACCTTGGCAATTTGCTCTGCCATTTGAAGACGTCCATCTAACTCACGTCTGATCTGTGCTGCTTGCTCATCTGGGTTGTCCAGCTGTATAAAAACAAAAAGCAAATCCAGGTGAAAAATTAATCAATACAGCACCTTGAGAAGCAGTTCAGTTCTTTGGGCTGACCATCTGTTTTACTTTATCAATTAAGTATAGCACAGAGGGAGTGGTGACAGGCCCCACTCTGTGACACAGCCCCACAAAGGACAAACAAAATGTTCACCACCCCGAGACAGACACAACCAGGGGACTGTGCAGACCCTGTTTTGATGCCTGCCCAGCTGCCTCCTGGGGCTGAGCACCCTCAAGCCAAGATCTTACACCTACTTTGTCCTGTGAGCCAGTCTGGCAGCAAGCCTTGATGCTGACTGTCTGAACCCCTGAAAAGCGGGGTGCCCTCCAGAAAGCTATCCCTTTGCTGGCACTTGGGAAGCCATAGTCACCCTGTGCTGGGGCAGGACACACAACAGCTCCAGATCACCAGAACAAACACCCCTTGCTCCTGCTTGCCACGCAGAAAAAGACAGGAGGCTCAGCAGAAATGCACAGCAATAGCATTTGCTTATTTTCTTTCCCCTCTTCCCCCATATTGCTGCATCCCTGTGCTACCACCTGATTTGTGCAACCAGTTTTCCTGCAGCCTTCAGCAGAGATCTTTTTCTTTTTTTTTTTCCACAACACACTGCCCACAGCGCTGTGGTTCAGTGTTTGCCGTCTGCCTGGCCATGAAATGTCTTCTGAGGGTAAAATGTTGTTTCTGCCAGTTAAGCAAGCAATTATAGCACATGTGGAAAAGGCACAAGGACTGCTGCGAGCAGTTTCCTGTTGGTAGGACTCAGGGCAGATCTGTTATTTTTAGTGGGAATACATAGACATAAATTACAAAACAAGAAAAAAGCACAAAATCAAACTAGCCCCTGAAGAAGTCGATAGCTGCTGTAATGAGGTGGCAATTTTATAGCTGCTTTCCAGACTCTAACCACTCTTTAGACTCCTTCGAGGTAATTTTGGCCATGGCATAAGGCTTGAAGCGTGCGGCAGTGGGGTGGTCATGGTGCCGCTTCACCCATGAGGCATAAACCCAAGCTCAGCCTGGTGCAAAACCTCACAGTTTTGGTTCACCTCCTCATGAAAATGTCACATCACACGGGAGAGCTGGCTCCTCCAGCCAAACACTGCCTTCGTTTGCAAATATCAGCCCTTTCTGGCTACCAGCAAATGCAGTTGCCAGAAGCTGCCGTAGGACACCTCTCCCACTGACTGGTACACATAAATGAGCTTTATTTGCTGGCTTGGGGTTGCACTAACCACCTTCCTGGGTTTTATCCTCCTCTGGAAACAAACTGCTTAACAGAAGAAAGGCTGGGCTGGTGCAGTGCAGTCTGGAAAGTTACAGGTACAGTGACGACAAAAGTTTCAATTCTCAGCATGATGAACAATAAGCTTGTCTGTTAGTGCTCCCCGAACAGCTAAAATACATCGCTTTCCCCTCAAACATGCTGCTTTCCATGGCACCCGTGTAGATCCATGTAGATCTGCACACATGCAGCCTGTATTTACATACTGCTTCACCACTGATGATTTTCCAGAGTCAACATTTAATATGGCTGAGATTGAGGGAAAATCTATTTTTTATTAGTTTTTGAAAGCCTCCATTACAGATTTAATTCAAGGTGCAAAAACTACACAGTGTCCTGACCATGATCCAAATCCACTGAACCTTCAGTGATCTCTGCTGTGGCCATCCAGGTTTACACTCACAGCAGCTGCACCACATAACCTGCTGCATTCATTTCTATATTCCTGATCCCAAAAGCACTACAGAGCCACGGACCACCAGCACGTTTTGGGATCAGCTGCCCCAATTAATTTCTCCATGAACAAATGCACCACAGAACTGACCTCCACCAATGAGCAAGCATCTCTAGAGCTGTTTCGTTAATGGTAGGAAATGTACAGTCCCAGATTTCCATTTCTTTGCAACTCTGTAAGAAGGGGCATTATTTGAATTCCATCCGAGCTACAGTAATTGAGGTTAATCACACACTACCCAAAATATCTCACACGCTAAATTTAGAAATCCAGGATGCTGCTGTGGAGGAGGGCTGGTTTTGTGGTATGATAATGAGCCAGGAAACTGCCTCACACTTTCTGCACTATCTTGATTTTGCAGATGTTTTCCAGCAATGCTACAGGTGTCAAAAACCATGTCAAGGAAAGATCTGACTGCAGAAGATTATTTTTCTTAGCAGGCAACAAGCACCCTAGGCAGCCTTCTTGGTTGCGGCTGAGTGGGTAAAGCATTGCTTTTCAGGGCTGTGCTTCCCAAGGTTAATTAGTGATGCCAAGCCAGGTAACCTGGTATTTAAAGGAAACAAACAAAAAAATCTTTCCAGGCTGTATTTTCAACGACTCTGCATGATAGGTCCATGTTAAAAACTGATATTTAGGAAAGCAATCACAGCCAACAGAACATATTCTTCTTGTTATCTACAGAATGGTACTAACAAGGCAGTCCTTGCCTGCAGTCCATGTATGTCCTCCTGGCACCTTCAAGCAGACTGTTGTGACCAAGAGGAGCAGCCCAACAGCTCAGCCACTTACTGCTCCTGAGCCTGGGAAGGGCTCCTGCTGCCATCAAAGCAAGTTGAGCACATTTTACACAGTCAAAACACTGTATAAGGACCATTAAGAGAGTAATGTGTGCCCATGAAATATACTTTGCTTGTGAAATAAGGCAAGGGGCAAATGCAAGGCATACTACCTAAGCAAGACCAAACACCCAAGTAAGGCAACACAGACCCTAATATCATTAAAACTCAAATTCTTAACTAGAGAATCAGCTATTTATTTTCTGCTGTACGCATGCCCATTTTATATCCAAACACTTGACAGCCAAATATACAAAGTATTTACAAAGTCAAAAAGAAATTGAATCACTTTCATTCTGCATTATAACTATGTTATGGGTGTGCTATGAATAAAGCAAAGATATAACTCATAAGGTTGCCCCAGTCAATTAAATGTGAAAAGTATTATAAATTTCAGTATATATATGATTTGTCATATGCACTGGGCTTTTCTTCAGCAGCATGCCACAAATATATGACGTACATAATCTGCAATTTTCAACTGATCATTACCCAACTGCCTGCTGGTAAATTAGATGTTTTCATACGTCTACCCGCATACAACATTAGTTCTCTCTGCTTGCCCTGCAGAGGTTATCTACTTTGGTGTAACAGTTGCTAAAGTAAAACAATAAAAATAAAATAAAATTATGTAGATTAGATTTGAACGGAACCCAAAATTGACCAGCATTGCAGCCAGCCCATTACTGAAGGCACTTTAACCCCTGGTGATCCCTCAACTGAAATAAAAAGATCTTGCAAAACACTTATACACATAAGCTGCTAATAAGGCATAATTTTTAATGGACATTAGTAAATGAGACAAAAGAGGTTAAAAATGCAAACGCTGAGCTGCAGCAACCTGCTTGGTGCTGCACTGTGAATGGAAACAAACCTGGCTCTTCATCTTCTGGAAATGAAAACGTTTAGTTCAGGTCTCCATGAAATCCACAGCCAACCCACGTGGGTTTTCCTCCAGGACAGCGTTGGCACCCGGGGCCGGGCGATCCCTCCTGCACAGCCGAAGGCAGGCACAGACAGGCTGCCACCCAGCACGGACCGCCTTGGCTATGGGCACTCTCAGTGATCTCTGACTTTAATTTTCTCTGTCCCTGTGTCCAGCACACCACCGTGCAGCTGGGGGGCCTGAAAATTCTACTTTGTGAATGATTTTTCCTGAGTGAAGGACAAGGGCAAAAGCCATGGACCACTCATGTAACTCTTAAGCCTGGCTTAAGTCCTCCCAAAATAATTAATGCAGCCAAATACCTGTGTCACGTACAGTTATAGGTGCCAAAAGCCTCAAAGAGAAAGCTTCAAGGCACTCATCCTTCAACACACTGGAAGCCATGTAGCTCAGCAAATGGCTGATTAAGTGTTTCAAAGCAAACATGCTGCATCTGAAGGCTGAACAAGACCGCAATATGGGTGACAATTTTGCAGCTTTGATGTAAGATCTTTGTCTCATAAAAGGTGGTTTCACTTTGTGATGCACAATGAGAGAAAACACTGAAAAATTCATAAGCCCCCATCAATTAATAATTAATCTATCAGTCCAGATGTTCTCACAACCTGTGGCATCGGCACCACGTCGTGCTCCAGCTGAAAGAAAAGTCAAAGTGACTCATTGCATGGAAGCCCTCAGCGTCTTATCAGAAAATCACTGCTCTAGAAAATAAGGCAACACCAGACAGGACAGAGTGGTACCACGAACCGCACACAGCTTCCTATGACACACTCCGTGCCACTGTCACAGACTGACCTCTAGCATCATTGTCCCACTAACAGTAACTATTATTCTCTATGAGTGGCGAAGGGCAGAGCGAGGGAGGCAGCCCAGTGTTTGAGGCTCTGACCTCTGCCCGCAGCTCTGAAGCAGAAAGCGGAGGAGGATCTGAACACTCCCTCCCTTGACTGTAGGTGGGATGCTGACCTCCCTTTTAAACTGGGAATCAGAACAATGCTAAGCTGCCTCAGTAGGGTAAGTCACTGAAGCCCTGGGCAACATGCTAATACTCTGAGCAGCAAATTCCAACCCAAGGACCACCAGCTGCCTTGGGATCTGAAACAGGGGTGAGGATGAGGAAGAAAGGACAGCTTCTCTGTTATACACATCCCCACGTCAGCAAAACCTGTAGCTTCAGCACAGCCTGACTATGGATTCATCAATCATCTGACTCACGTGGTTCAAGAGAGGATTTTGGAAGAGCTGGAGGGAACCAGCAGGACACGTCCTCTCCACCAGCCCTCCGCACTGCAACACTGCACTATCCCCATGTGTCCCAGCACCGCTGCTCTCCTGGCGCCCCTGCGTAACAGTGATGCTCAAGACTACCTCTTCCCTGGCCAGTCAGACTTCCCCAAATCAGTATTTTATGCTCAGAGTCACACAGAATATTTCTATGAAATTCCCC